CCCAGCCTGGCAAACCTAGATGACACTCCTTAGGTGACAGGGTGCAAACCTCTGAGCCTGTTTCCCACAGGTACAAGCAGCACACAAGACACTAGTGTTGGGCCCACTGGGTCTTTCGATTCTAGTACTATGCTCCCAAGGGCCTGGCCTTCAGAGGGCAGCTCTCTGGCCACTTCTCCCTCCAGGGGAGCTACTCTTAGCCTCACCCTCTCTGTCTACCATTAGAATCAACTCCCCTCCACCCTGCTCAGTGCCCTTCACATGACCACCTGGGGCTGTCTTCCTTCCCAACCCACAGGAGTGGATTTAGTGACCCTTCATGCAATGTGGGAGTAGAAGCCAGACCCTTGGAACCAGGAGATCCAAGGTCAAACCCCAACCCCACCAGACAGTGTAACCGTGAGCAGTTTCCCCTCACTGTCGTGAGAACTAACAGGTTCCTAAGTTGGTAACTAGTATGCGGACTGTCCTGGAAGGAGAGCACACAATAGGGCCCCCGATGCTGACCATGACCACACTAGATTATGTGAAGCCTCTCCAGCAAACAGCTTGTTCATGCTCCAGGAAAGTCTCAAGGAGAGCACCAGGTGAATGAAGAGACCTTCCACAGATCTCCTGAGGACACCCAGGCAGGCCACCGACCCCTACCCAGCYATCCCCAGACCACACCCTAGCATGGCTGCTTCATCTACTTCTGGCCCGGGCAGCCACAGGACAGGACTCTCATGTAATGCTGTCATCTCAAAATATTTTTCTTTTGTGCTGCCAGGGATTGAAGCCAGGAGTGCCCTATGGCGAGGCTGTATCTCTGGCACACACACCCCATTACTGTGACAGTCTATGTTGCACAGGCTGGTCTCAAGCTCACTCCTGCCTCAGGCTCCCAAGTAGCTGTGGTTACAGGCATGAGTCACTGTGCCCAGCTCCAATCTTCAAAGCTCTCTAACCCTGAAGGGACAATAGCATGTGAGCAGGAAGCCAACCCATGGGCTTGTGGTGCCCCTGATGCCCCAGGAGCACAGAATCCCAGTGGATATGAAGGCATACCCATGACCAAAACAGCAGGTACCAGACCTGCCATGYTTCCCAGGTAAGCAGACACATGCATTCAGCAGAGGGCAAGAGCATCCTAAGAAACACAAGCAGCCAAGAACCCCTGCCCTATGGATGTCTTCTCCATCGATAGCAATGTGCTTTCTCCTTCAGACCTGTGGCTCTACGCACTGCACTCAGGATGGGGCGAGGGAGGGAAGGACAGAGCAGAGCCACCACTTCCAGACTYGGCTGTGGGACAAGCTCCCTGCCCACCAGGAGCTCATGGCTCCAGGACCAGGCCCTCCTGACGTGACACCAAGAGGCACAGGAAGGCGAGTGCCCTAGGTTACTCCAAAACCAGTGAGCACTTCTTCCCTGCCGCATTGCTAACTGGGAACTTTCATCTAGAATTCAAGAAATAAGGGAAGAGGGAAGGATAGGTGGCCAGGCTCTCAGGGTACCCAAGCTGCTTCTGGGTTTTGCCCTCCCCCCGCCATTATATCCCCGCTCTTCCTTTTAGGGCACAAACATGGAACAGCAGCATACAACCATTTTAATTACCATGAAAAAATTCCCAACCCTCCCTTCTTCCAGATATCTCCCTGCACAGGTCAGGTTACATATCTGAGGAGCAACAGTCCTGACACCTTGACCCCCGCCTTGGGGCCCCACAAAGGTCAGGCTCTCCCCCATAGGGTTCATGTGGGAAATCTACAATTTCCTTAAATAAACTTGGCATTTCATAAGAAAAATACATTATCTACTATTGATAACCATTTAGATAATGGAGGGAGAGAATAAGGGGGTTTTTAGAGTCAGAATTTGCTAAGTCATGAAACTTTAAAAGCTACGCTAATCCTAACACAAATGCCACAACATACCAGGCACTGTGGCACACACCTATAATCCCAGTGACTCTGGGGGATGAAGCAGGAGGATCTCAAGTTCAGTGCCAGCCTCAGCAGCTCAGCAAGACCTTGTCTCATTAAAAAAGAGAGAGAGGGGGGGGGGGGGGGGGGAATTAATTAATTAATTAATTAATTAAAGGGCTTAAGGATGTAGCTCAGGGGTAAAGCACCCCTGGATTTAAACCCCAGTACCATATTTAAGGGGAAAAAAAATCACATTTCAGAAGCTGAAGACATCTCCAAGTTAGCTAGATGACACAGGTCTACTTCAGGTACCCAGGACACTTCTGGCACAGTGCCTAGGCCTGGACTTGGGGCTGGTTCAAACCCCAGCTCCTTGCCCTGGAAGAGTGTGGTGTGTGTGTGTGTGTGTGTGTGTGTGTGTGTGTGTGTGTGTGTGTTGGTGGGGTGGGGGGTAGGGGAGATGCATGGCAAGCCCAGCCCATACCCAGCCCCCGACTCTCCTTAAAGGCTGGATGAACTGGTATCTTCCAGGTCTGAAGATCTGCAACTAAGACAAAACTGTGTGGAAAAGGCCAAGACTGACATCAGAAGATGGTAACAGTTATATGAACCTGTCCATTTGGTTGAATTAGGCATTAACAGGCACATCAGTTTGTATCCATTACTAGGACTTAACATCTGAAATTTGTATTAAAAAACAATTTATCTGCAAAGAACCAATAACTAGAAAGAAAATGTTTGAATTTTGATAGTAAGTCCCTATTGTCAAATTTAAGAAAATTGACTTTAAAAATTAAAACCAGAAATCGTGTTTCATATTGCAATCTTAAGCTTTCAACTTATATGACTGCTGGACAGGCCTTATTTGTCTAATTTTTTCCAATGAGGCAGGTAATGATTTCCAAAGCCAAGTGCTTAGATCACACTACACTTGTTGCAGAGATTATTTTCTTGAAAAGAATGCAGTTTTAACTTAACGAGACTTCTAATTATAAAACAAATGCCTGCTATTTTAAAAGTCTCAATCAATTTTCAACACATTCACCTACAGGCATCCCCAAACCAACTGCTGGAAGTCTGGGTCAGGAAGACTGAGGCCTGGAAAGACAAGAGCAAGAACTCTGCCTGGCACTTGCCCAAGCTCCTTACCACAGGTACAGAGGCACTTAACCCAGGCCGTCTGCTGAGTGAGGGCCTCCTGGGAAAGGTGGATTTCAGGTTTGGGTACCACATCTGCTTGTACAAGTGGGCCCCTGAGCAAGTTATTTATCTTCCCCAGGCTCAACTATAAACTCACTCACTCCCTCTTGTTAGAAAATTTGGCAGAGGAAGTTCAGCCCAAGATACTTACTTTGTAAAATCTAGTTAATAAAACCAGGCTAGGAATGGCTTTCAAAACAGCTTGCACGATTAAGAGCTCCTGACCAACGCAATTGTGGTCAAACATGGGTAAATATAAATATTCYTGTGTCCAGCCCCTCATCCCCCCATACCCTGCAAGGCCCCTGGAGTCAACAAGACCAACAAAGAAAGAATAAACCAGGAAGGACACAAAGGCAACCACCCACAAACTCCCCTGAAGGAACCCAGGAGGCCAAGCAGAGAATGTCTCTGACTCCGGGTTTCACCCAACCATCATCCCAGAGGTGGGAGTTTTCCTGAAGTGCGCTAACCTTGACACCAGAGCTACAGCCTCTGGCCACATGTGTTCCCAAGCTGGATGGAGGTAGGTGCTCATGTTAAATGGCAYTTCATTTTTTTGAGTGTATATGGGGTGAGGGGTGCCTATCAAATTTGTGGTAGCAGAGATTTTTGCTTAGCAAGGTGAGGGTAAAAGTTGACATAGTAGAAAATAGAACAGGAGGCCCTTGTATACAGAAATATCATAAAAGCCACATGCAAATGATTCCAGTTTGACAGAAGCATATAAAAAAATTATAGACCCTTCTTCCATGACTCACACAGCCCTGAAGCTAATGGCTTAATAGAATCTGTTTGATTTCTACTTCCACCTGTATTTTTTGCTTACACAGTGATTTTCATTTTAACAGAAAAAAAAGTCATTCTCAAAAGAGCCTTCTCTATACATGGTGGCAAGAAAAACTTCAATCCCAGGCACCCCAGGTCCTAGCAGGAAACAAAGCCACATCCACTTTCCAACTGGTGCTGAAGACCAACCTCTACAACACACAAAGGCCATCAATCAGCTCTCTGGTCCTTACCCCATCAAAACAGGAGAGACACACAGCCCAAGTGCAGAGGCAGCAGCAGAACTCTGGTGATGGGCTGTATGTGCGACCCCTCCACCCCTCTCACCTCAGTTACTACCCTTCCTACCTTAAGAGTGTTGTGCAACTCCAGCTGCCTGGATCAGCAGGCTAGGAGAATTTAATGAAAACAGTATGTGTCTGAGGTATCACAACCCTACAACCCAGAGATGAGTTCAAAATCCTGATAAAGGTCTCCACCAGTGGGGCAGCTTTTATCCCAAATGATTCAGGATCGAAACACCGTTGGAATTTTCATGGCCCTGAGAAAAGCTCTCARCCTATCTGAAGGGCTAAACCAGTATTCATTATAATGGTTAAAACAAGCCATGAGGCTGCAAACGGACTGACACTTTCCTGTTTTGTCATGACCACTCACTCTTCTACATACTGAGAAAAGCACCTGCTGTGACACGCTCCATGAGGAATCCCATGCCTCCTGAATGTGCCTGGTGTGCACCCTCGAACTGAGCATCGGGTCTGAAAGCAGACCTCCTGTACTGCCTCCACGCTGTCACAGTGCGGGGCTCAGATGCCAGCAAAAGGATTTCATCTCAATTTCCCAAAGCTGCAGAGAGAACTCTCGCCAGTGAGGGGAGCTGCTGGGCTGGTATGTGAGCTGCTCAAAGGCTGATGGGGAGGGAGCACAGCACAGCTCTCAAATTCTCAATACTAATATTCCTCCAGCTACAAAAGCCCACGTTAAGAAAGAGAGATTTAAAAGGGACTCATTACAGTAACTACATGGTTAACATCCCTACAAAAATACACCTTTTTACACACTTATTTTAATTGAAGATGTTTATTGCATTCTATTTTTGGTGGAAAAAATGAAACATATATTTATTTAGTACAACCTTGTGAAATGCACAAAGCATAACTGAGTAAGAAGCATTTTTTATTCCTAGTCCATTTCTGAGGACTAAATCATGAACTGCTCCACTGTAATTAAATATTTCTTATAATAGTTGGGCACCACACTTGTTAATTTTCTCCTCTCAGTATAGGCAGCAATTCACCATTTTCTTTCAGTTCCTAAAAATAAAAAAAGTAACAATAATGTAAATGCACATATAAAAAATGAAAACATCTTTGCAAGTCACAGCTTTCATCAACATCTGAGAACAAAAAGGAACTCCTATTGCATTTACACCCCAAGTCTTTCAACATTCTCAAACTAAACATTATGTCACAAAAACTGAATACAGCTGTTCCTTGGTATGCACAGGGGAGCAGTTCCAGGACTCCCAGGAYGCCAGAAAGCATGGATGCTCAAGTCCCTTGCACAGAACTGCACAGTATTCACATACAGCCACCCACACCTTCCCATGTGACCTGTGTCATCTCCAGATGACCTATAATACCTAATGCCAAAGAAGTGTTACATAAGCAGCTGCTGTGCTGAATGGTCTAGAGAATGGCGACAACGGGGGCTAAGTCTAGACGTCATCAATATGGTGCTTTTTTTTCCCAGATACTTTTCAATTCTCCATTGGTTGAATCTGTATATGGAAAACCRCAGGTGCAGATGGCCCTGTATGTGTGTTTACGCATGCAAGCATGTAAAATGAAAAATGTAGGTCTATTTTTGTTGCTTTAGGGTTATCCAAAAGCTAGTGTTAAACATTTTTTTTCCTCCAGGAATGAGATCAGCAAAACTACCTCACTGATGTGTTTCAGAGCCATCATGGCTACAGCACTCAGCAAGAAAAGAAGCCGGAACAGATCCAACCTCCATATGAAGGCCCCACAGTCAAGGTGCTCAAAAGCCCTGGCTTTGTAAACGTGCACTAGTGCCATTTCAGCTGGGATGGGGTTCCTCCACGTCATGAAAGTGCATGCTAAAAACCTTCCCTTCACAATATGACCAGAAGTAGCACTTCTTATTAGTTGTCTTCCACTTCAAAGTCAGAGATCTGACAGAGAAGACTTGCTAACAAAGCAAGCAGGAGGAAGGCCTGAGGGTAGTCTGGGCCTTGGAGGAAACTCAGCAGCCCGCCTTCTTGACAGTCCTAGCTTCTCAGGAACCAGCATTCCAGCTGGCCCTCCACTTGACCTACCACAGCCACCTCCCAGAGTGGCAGCAGCAGGGTAGAAGGTTTCAGGGTGTCAAAGCTACAGCTTCCCTTTATTGYTGTGGGCTAATCAAGAGCTGTGCAGCACACAGGTGCTAGATGTGGGGCTGCCCTAAGTTCTAGACATTGAATGTAAGAAAAGTTAAGTCCAACAAGCCAAAAAGTAAATTAGTCTACCCATCAATCACTTGCTGAGCTCCTAAAGTACACAGAGCATCAGAAGGGTTTCAGAGAGTACAAGAGGAACCTCTCAACATGCTTACCATCCAACAGTTACAGAGTAATAACATCTGACTGAGGCCAGTGATCTGCAGCCACTGTGGTGCGCAGGGCAGGGCCAGTTCTGGGCCTCCAGGCTCCTGCCTCATCTTCACGCACCATGAACAAATGAGGGAGGATAAAGAAAATGCAGGAAGAAAATCATGACAACATAAAAAGAGGCACAAAAATTTCAGGAGTAGGAGCAAATGTCTCTAGCTGGAGGGAGCCAGACATTTACAGACCAGTGAGTTTTACAGGATTAAGAAAACAAGTTTAATTACAGACTATGAAAGAAAATCCAAAACCAAGGGGACAAAGGTGAAGAAATGCTGAAAAGCAGAAAAATATGGAAGAAAGTTCTATGGACTTAGTGCACTATGGTTTTTTTAAGCCTGGCCACAGTCTAGGGCTCACTGAATGCCAAGCAAGAGTTTGGATACTGGCTGGCAGCTGGATGGGAGCTGACGAGGTTCTATAGAAGGCCCAGAGCAACAGGGAAGGAAATCGCTGGCTAATCCAGGAAGGAGAGGATGAGAACAGTCTGAAGCAGCAGAGACTATGAAAAGGATGAGACATTATACACTCCAAAACAGAAGTACTAGTCCAGAACAGGCAAACTATGAGGCTGGAGAAAACAGGAGTCCGACAACCCCAAAGTTTCCATTCAATGTGCAATGATGGTTTCCAAACGTGTCCCACTTATCAGTGCTGCAGGGTAGTGGATAGAGAGTCCTTACCTTAACAATATCCAATCCTCCAACAAGCTCCCCTTTCACATACAGCTGTGGGTATGTCGGCCAATTGGAGTATGCTTTTAATCCTTGCCGAACCTAAAGAAAAAACATGATCCTGAAACCTTCCTACAACATCCTACAATGAAAGCTAAACAAAAAACAAAACAGAAACCCCAGAACTTACTTCTTCATCTTCCAATATATCAAACGTTTCATATTCAACACTACAAAAAGGAGAGAACATTTTAACAGGAAATACAGTTGTAAAAGAAAAAATTATAAGACCTATTTGGTGTTTTAAAAATAGTCAAGAAAAGTAGATATTGCTAACAAAATGCCCTAAGTTCTAGGCCAATGGAAACTGTTTCACTTCTTAGATCTGCCAGGGATGACAAAGAACAAATCACCACAGGACACAGATCTACCTGGATCTCTCTCTAGACAATAAAGGGTCAGACCCAGGGTTAGAAAAATGTTCGTAAATAACAAAGAAAGGGGCCATTAAAAAAATGACCTAAAACCAGCCAGCCTCCCCTCCAGGCCCAGGAAAAGGGGGAAGACAGAGTGGGCCTGAGGTAGTAATTACGCTAACTTGACCATATTTTCCTTTATAAAATGCCACAATAATTTGAAGAAATTAACCATTTTTCTTTTTGCCTCTAACATTACATTGTCTATGCTTTCCATCCTACTAAAGAATGCTGAAGTATTTAAGATTACCTTCCCTATAACTTCATAGGGTAGGCTAATATAATCTATTTAAAGCTATGATTTAAATACAAATTAAATTTTTTAAAAAAGCAATTGTGAAACAAGGAAGAGAAGTAAAAGTAAGCAGAAGCATCTGACAAGCCCAACAGAATATTTGCTACGTATCTCCAGGTAAGTGGTTTTGTTCTGAACCACAGAAGTCAACGAACGGCAGTGTTCTCACCTGGCAGCTTCACCACGGAGCACATCAGAAGAAGAGGTGCTGCAATGTAAGTTCAACTGGACCCCTCTCAGATCCAGGTGATGGACCTTATGTGTGCCCATCAGCTTCATGTGTTGCTTAGAAAGTACAACTTTTTTAAAAGAAAATTTTAAAACAACCTATAATATTCTCCCTGTCCTGTCTTTACGCATGGTGAGAACACTGGCCCAAAAAGTTCTACTTTGGTCTTAAGTTAAAGCATTCATAAAACATTATAGCAAAAATAAATAGATTTTAAAAGTATGAACAAATCCAGACATTAAAACTGAAAAGCATTAGTGGCAGAACTAAAGTTAGAATTTTTTAAATACACCATTTGAAAACAAGATTTACATACCCAGTACTATTCAGTATTTCCAGAATTTGTTTGCTGAATCCACATTTTGCTTCCTAAATTTAAAAAATTACATTTTTTATATGTCCCAATTGTCATGATGGCAGCTAATGCTTTGTCAATCAATGCAGCGCTTGTCCAATGTCATGGCCACTACATTTGCTCGGCTCCTGACTCTTCATAGCCCTCTCCTTCAAGCACTGACCCTCTAGACATCTTCCCAGACACAGCCCATAGACCTACTCAGGCATGCAGCCTCATAAGGTGACATGTGCTTTAGTGGCTCATGGTCTGTGTGGTTAGAAGGTGCCTGAATCAAGTCTAGACCTTCTAGAGAATTTCTTCCTTACTTGATTTATCTGAACACACTTAACCTTTCTGCAATAACTAAAATAATCATTGTCATGTTCCCAACTTTGACCCCATTTTAAAAATTTATCTTTACATTATATGGCATCAATTTTTGGGGGTGGTTATGGAAATCTTATGCCTTTTTTTCATGCCACAGGACCCCAAATCCTAAGAATCTTGTGGAAAAAAATTGATACACATAAAACATTTTAAAAGTTCCAACAATAGTGTTTCTGAAATGTATGAATTCTTTCTGGGCTTCCAGAAAAAAAAGGAGTGTTGAGAATAAAAATCTACTTTAAATAATCTCAAAAGGCGGGGGAGGGATGCCGCTTTATCATTACTAGGAGTTATTCATTTCCTCCATTTATTTTTAACAAATACACTGAACAGTGAAAGAATATAGATCCTAACATAGCATGGATTTCAACATGCTAAAAATCCCTATGAYCTTCCTTGCTGTTATTACCTGCGTTATATTAACTAATGAGTTTCATTATATTTGTAATATTAGCTTTCATATTCCTTATGGTGACCTGACTCTCAAAACAGTCCTATGAAGCCCATTTACAAGGGGCAAAGCAGCTTTCTATGGCTGAGTCACCTGCCCAAGGTGTCCTGTCCTATGTGTTGGGCAGTTTCCTCACTCTGTCAGCCTCAGCTAGCACAGTGGTAGTTTCCACACCTCCAATGTAAGCCAAACCCTGTTCAGCTTTGCCTATCCTAATGACTGGCTGAGAATTCAGGAAATTTAAGAGAGATTCAATTGCTACAAAACCAGTAAAATACAAAATAAATGCAATGGCTAGTCTGGGGAAATTACCATCTTAATCCCAATCCAAAAGTTAATTAGTTTTACTCAAGCCATCCGTGGGAGTGATCTATCAAACTTGATATTCAAAATGATGCAAAATTAATATGTATTTTCATCAAAAATACTACAAGAACCATCTCATTATAAATGAGAATTACTCATTCATCAAACATATGAGAGCACACACACCAAAGCCAGGGTTTATTTCCCACCGTGGACACTTGTACTGTAAGAACCCAAGCACTACCAACTTCCCCGCACAAAGTACACCAAAGCAGCCCACACACTCAAACAAAGGGTAATGGGACAGCAACTAGCAGACCAGCAAGTGTTAAATAGTGTTGMCCATGTTAGCTGACAAAGTTTGGCAGCAGAAAGAAATGCACCCTGCTGAGATGTTGATGATAAAGTCAAGCAAAATGTAGATTACTTTGCTTGATCTCCATAAGCACCAATTAAGGCCTGGATAACTTCCTGATACTGCTACAGCTTCATTAGCTAAAGCTAGGAAAAGAAGATTTAACTGTCCCCTTGTTGCAAATGTTAACATCAAAAGAAATTACAAATAAAACCATTTTTGAGTTCTTTACCTGTTTGTTTCCTTTCATAAAGAGCATCACAGAAGCTTTATTTGTCAGCACTTTAAGCCTGAAGAGAGAAAATTGATATAAAATGGCTCAGCTCAATTATTAAACACCACTTTTGCTCTGCATCATGAGTAACATGCGTATTTGAGGGATAGCAGGATGATAGTTCACAGCTTTGAGTGGTATTAAACAAGCAAATGCACTGACATTTTCCTTTATTTCACGCTCTCCCTGAGCCACTGTAAAACACAATATGGCTTCCTAGGCAACGAATGTTCCTTCAAGTTGCAATTTAAGCCCATCAACTCAGAGTACTAAAAAAAAAATAATAATAATAACCAAGTCAGGAAGGAATTATTCAATAGGGGGCTCATCTATCGGGCAGAATTTCCAGAACTAGATCCACGAGCCCTGTGTCTCACTACTCTGTAGAGTTCTGCACTCCTAAGGCTCATTGGGCAGGCTAGAGGATGAAAGCGTTAAATCCCAGAACATTGACTAATGCTAGCTGCTAAAAAACCAATGCAATAATGACTTTATACCACCTTTCAAACCAAATAATCTAACTCCTGTCAGGAACTTTAATCATCTGTAGTTAGCCCCAAAGTTTAGTCACACTCAGAAAAAGTCAGCRTGAGAACAATGGGTCACACCACCATATTCTCACTCCACTGGTGCCACAGGGTAATTAATCCACAGCTCAAAATCTCTCTACAGAAAAGTCACAAAGAAATGCACAGATCATGAACATGGCCATATCATCTCACCTCCAATGAAGTCTAGCCCATTCTCAGACACAGCAGCAGATGCAGAAACAGGACGCTGGCCCGCATCACTCACCCAGACCACTCTGTACTATCAAAACACATCACAAGCCCACAAACTCGGCTCACGATGTACTCTTTAAATTACTATTCAAAATACACTAAACTCTGCTGGTCTATATAATCCTGGCCAGTTATTATTGTCTGTGTCTAAAGCACAGGAGATTTAGAAGCAGTACATTCGGAAAACGGAAGGTCCAGTGGACAGAAGAGCATAAACAGCAATGAGCATCTATTTGAGAAGGAAAATGGGTCCTGAACAGCAAATCTAGACATAAAAGAACAGTCGTCTTCAGAGGCTACAGCTGTCACAAGCCAAGGGCGTCACCACACTATAGGAAAGAACAAGTGAGGACGTGTGGTCAACAGAAGGACACCACTTTCTCATTAAGAAGCAAGAAGGGCAACTAAACTTTAAAAAAATAAAACTAAAAAAAAAAAAAAGGCAGGAAGGGTGCTGGCTGAGAGAACAGGCGGCAGGGGTCAGATGGACACCCACGGGGCATTAATACAGTCCCACCACCCACGGAGGACCACTTTACCACTCAAGCGCGAATGAACAAGGTATTCATTATCAAACACTATCAGAAACTTTCAAAATATTAAATGATAAGAAAACTTTAAGAGGGAGGTTTATTTTACAAACTCAAGCCCAACTGCAAATGGCTGACTTGATGTATTTCAAAATCAATTCCTTTTTAAACCTCCACATTAATCCATCTGTATCTGAATAAAAGTCCCTTTAATTCTCCCTACATACCAAAGTCCAAAATTTCTATGAGTTTCTTCTAAAGTTGACTGAGATCCTCCATAAAATAGACAAAAATTTTCCAGCTCCAAAATCTGCTGGATTTTAAGGTGTCATAGTTAGAAAGGCAATGAGACGTATCCAGGGTCTGATGGGAAGTCTAACACATATGGAATATCAGCTTCTCACACTGCACACACTCAAGGTTCTAAACAAGAGTGCTGTGTTGACATCCTCAGGCAAGAACCAAATAACAGGATCCTGGCTCCAAATGCAGGGAGGGAAGAAAACTTGGTTAATCCACCTGAAACCATGACTTTCCAGAAGAGCAAAGAATATCTAAGCAATCACTAAACTGTGGCTAATGCTTCTCCAGTTCAAATTAGAGTTTCCCAAGTCTCTATAACTAGTTTGACACCAAACAATGACCCCGGCAGGCAAACATCAAATCCTTGATTTCTTTAAAGAAAAAGCAATGCAAAAACAGGATTTAAAAATATTTTTAAAGTAAGAGTAGACTCTGAAACTTCTATAACACTTACCTTTCCTCTAATTTGGGAGCTTTGGGGCAAATTGTATCTAGTTCTTCAGATGCTTCTAGCTCCTGAAATAAACATAACATACACATCAGTTTAAGAAATCTGTACTATGACATAAATCTCCATCACACCATGATACTGATCAATTACCTATTCAGAAATACTTTTATTCCAAATTGATATTAGTAAATGCAGAGATTCATGTGTACTTTAGACTAATTATAAGTATGCTCTAAATGGAATTTCTTTACAAGGTACAGATTTCTCAATCCTCACCTTAATTATATCAAGGCCTCCTATGAGCTCTCCAGAAACATAGAGCTGAGGATAGGTGGGCCAATTGGAGTAAGTTTTGAGCCCCTGCCGAACTTCTTCATCTGAGAAGATATCAAAACTGCTAAACTGAATATTATGTTTGTGAAGAATTTCCACCATCTGCTTGCTGAAACCTGCATACAGAAAAAGAAAACAAAGAATTTAGCATGTCTCTCATATACATAAACACGATTATAAATTAATTGAGAGTACATATCACCCAGTGAACACAGATGCCTGCCTTTATTCTGCCAGAGATTTAGCTGGCACAGCTGAATAATATGTGAAGAGAAGATACATCCCAAGAAACTCTCATTTGACCTTGAACCACACATGTTCAGATATGACTTAACTCTTTAACACAACTGGAAGCTTTAAAAAAAAAAAAGGATGTGTATTAATCAAAGTTGCTCTTACCATTAGGAACATTTTTTGTGGAAGGAAATTTAGTGGCTAAAGAGCAGAGAGCTCTGAAGCTCTGGCACCATTCATCCACTGTAGGGCAGAAGGCCCTGGACAGCCACCTCCCAGGACTTCCTCCCAGTGGAGGGACTGATCTGGACGTTCTGAACAGCCCCTCCCACTCTCCCATGCTGAGAGCAGAGGAGAGTCAGCTCTAGCTAGAGGAAAAACTCAAGACAGCAGTTATTTTTAACCCAACTGTGTACTTCCACTGCCACTTTCCTGCTTCCTGAGTGCCCACTTGAGCAGTTCTCAGTCCTCAACATCTCTAAGGACAGATGAGAAATCAAGGAGGGACATCTTCTCTCAGGCTGAAATGGGCACAGCACATTGAATTTTAAAGCCATCTTCTCTGTCATTATATATGAACTGTCAATAGATTGACAGTGTTCTTTCTCATCTCATGTCATCACTTGACAGTTTCTTTTCTAAAACTATTTACATTCCCTAAAGTGTGTAATGTAATTTCTTTGCTACACTGTAGTGACAATTTTATGTTCCATGATTTTATTATACTTTTGTGACACATTTCTGTTCTGTACTTTCTTGACATCATCATCTTATTATAACATTAGTACTGAAGAATAAGAGTGTGAATCAGTCTTTTATAAACCTGTTAGTCCAGTCTGAAAAAAGGATATTTTTCTTTCCATAAACTAATTCTTACCAATCTTTTTTCCTAGTTTGAGCCACCCTATGCTTTCTCATCTCATCATTCTTCTTTCCAAACATAGTCGTAACTCACTAGAAAATAACCTATTCTTCAGATTCAAAATTCCTATAAGACTTAACAGCATTTGCAATTATTTTCAAATCAAATCAAATCAAATCATAATATTCAGCATAAGATTAACTGAAAGATAAGCTTAACCTGATATCACCCAAAAGCATGTTTAGTATTAAAACAGATCTACAACTGAGCTTCATTTTCCAGATCTGCAGTTGAAGATGAAGCACTAGTATTTATTTGTACAGCTATAAGTTCTTTTCCTACAACAGAGTGTTAAGTTCATGTACAGCCTGCAGTAAAACACTGATACTGAAATTTTTTCATTCATCTGGGAGTTCATTAGTAAACAGCTAACGGCTGATTGCTGATGGTTATTCTGCTGCCAATATATTAACTCATTTCTACTGTAACTGGCTGAGAAAGAGCTTTATTTTAGCTTTAGGCAATTACATGCAGACTAGAAAGATTGATTGGTAGTATTTCATTTTTAAGGGTTAAAGTGGTAGACTGGAAATGTTTTCCTTATGGATAAAGTAGTAAGAAAGCTTTATTCTAATGACAAAATATTTACACAGTTTGAAGAAAAATGCATGCAAGAAATAAAAATACTTAAAAGTAAAAAAAAAATAAATTAATTAACTGCCACAAAGTCACCATTTCTACCTGCAGTCATGTCTACTCATGACATGAGTAATACACCTAACTGCCACATTTAATAACTATCTAACAATAAACCCCTAAAGAATAGTTCTGCAATATGCTTTTGTGACTGAAACAAGGCAGATGACTCTCACTGCAGGAGAAATTTCTATGGTCAGACACCTGCTTTGCTACAAGTCTTAACTTCAACAGCTGTAAGAACTCCCCAATTACTTAATTAACTTGCTCTAAGACTTAACAATTCTGTTTAAGAAGACAGACATCTCAGTGCTTCTAGAAACTCTTCCTTCACACCTAAGTGTCCTCTCTATCCTCCCGAGCTGCACAGAACAGAGACAACCAAGTCTTTGACAACTGAGGCTCTCTCATGATACACCACAGGATTCTACAGGCAGAATCCACAGCAAAGGATGAGAAGGCAGAGCTGTGGCCTGCATGGGAGCCAGGGACAGGCTCCAGAAATGGCTTTTCCAGCTTCCTGGATTCAAATTTAAATGTTATTTATTCATGGTTTTCTGACTTTCAAAAAGGGAGATGGGGGCCATCAATTTAAAAATCAAGTGTAGCCATAGTCTACAGTGGACATCAAAACGGTGTTACTAAAGCGTAGTACTTTCAAAGCGAACTCTGCCAAACCAGAGTGGCCACTTGATTTCACAAGGTGAAAAAAACTTGGTTTTTAATTACAGGAGCTCACCTACAATTCTTCTCTGAGGTGTTAACAAAGGAGCAAAAACAATTCTCTTCTAGGCAGGCTCAAGAAGACAGCAGAGGGAAAGGCCTTATGCTCCCAAAAGAAACCAGCTTCAGGATGAAGTTATGCAGCAAAGCACACAGAAAGGAGAAAAAGAGCCAGGGAAGGAAGCAGGAGGGCTCAGACACACAGGAAATGCTTTCTAAGTATCCTAAGCAGACACTTTATTAGAACCAACGCCCTAAGGCAATCTGCTCACTCTATCTTCTGGGTAGGAAAGACAACACCCAAAATATCAGGAAACAGAAAAGCCCTTTAAAAATGGAGTTACAAAGTCGTAAAGAATAAAACAAGCCTTAGAACAGAAGAAACTGTACTGTTACACCATCTGCATCTAAAAATCTTCCTTTAAATTCCCTAGTTACTTATTTCATTCCCTAAATATCTATAATGCTGTGTTTTTCAGATTGCTCTAAAATGTGTTAAAACTTTTTGATTTTTATTTGTGTAATCTTTTAAATGTCAGTTAATACATCATAAATGAAGTTTAATGAAGTGAAGAAAAATGAGTATTTCTAAGTTTACCTCTAATTTGCTTGAATATAACATCTACATTGAAAAGGCCCTCCAAGACTGACTTTACCCCAACACCCCCAGAAGGAAATGGGGGTAGTTACTTGTGCCCAGTTACTAAGCAGGGCCAAACGAAGCTCATTCACTTGACCATGCCCATCACTCTTCCAGCACACCCTTTCCTCTTCTGGCTGAGTATCCCTTCCCCCAGCTTTGGTTTTGCCATTTGCCAGCTTCACCAAGTCATCATTCAGATCCCAAAGAGGAGAACACAGCATTAGGTTTGCTATGTAAAAACTAGCAGACAGATTCGCCCACATTTTATAGCCAGTTATACTGCCCTTCAGACTGGAATGAAGGTACTGAATAAAATCCATGAGACTGACGTGAGTCCTCATATTAGGTGGGCTCACAAACTGCCAGAAATGGTTTTCATGCAACACGTCTGTCGCTGCCTTAGTTAATCCTGCAATAGAGCAGGTTAGCCTGTAGTCCCTTCAGAGAAGGTGTCACCTGAAACGGAAGACACTGACCAGGAAATTTTTTAGGTAGAACTAAGAAATAAAAGAATCATTTCTTCAACTTTTAAAACAGAATTTATCTTGAAACTTTACGATTAAAAGTAGACTTTTTCATAACTTAACATATAATTTGATAACCATATAGGGAAGACTTTAAAATTGAAATTTATATTGGAAGCTAGGCTATTTTTATAAAGTCACATTGGACATGTAGAAACCATATCAATTACATCCTCAATTTTATTGCCACCTATCTTAATAAGTTCCCTCCTGTGTAGTTGAAACAAATACTCTTAAGAGTCTCAATAGCATCATCAAAAGTCATTGAATGCTCAATTATGAAGCATAATAATGTTGTACCAGGCACAGTAAAAAGAAAACAACATAAACCCAATACCAGAGGGGTCAAATAACTCTAAAACTTACTTAAGGACACAATTACGAGCATCTATGTGTATAGAAAATAAGGGTACTATAAGCCAAGAATTGGGAGTCTTTAAGTTACTAGCCGCTATAAATTGGAAATGACAGCAATGGGCAAATAATGCAATCATTAGACATCAACAACAGGGAAGGCAAGAGTACACAACACAGGCCCACGAACACTATGAAAATATTGCAGTTTTTAAATTACTGAATCTGATGAGTGAAGAAAAGAAGGTGGCCAAGAAAGAAGCTGTTAAGAGCAAAATTACACAGGCCAAAGGCCCATCAACAGAGACAGCAACATGACAGCAGGAACCTGATCTCAACTCCGACACTGGTTGGCCTTGGGTGAATCAACTTCCCATCTACATGGATAAGACAAAGGTGCTGAATTAGATAATTTCTAGGACCCCTTCTGGTTCCAATCTTCTCCGAATTTACAACGCAAACTAATTTTTCTCATCTACTTGTCTGATTTTCTACAAGCATGTGAACAGAAGCAAAAGATGTCCACCCCAACTGCACCCTACATTGGCAAAGCACCTGCATGGCTTACACCATCTCAAGCGCAGCTTCTTACCACAGCGAGGTTCTTGAGGGGTTCCTTTCATGAACAACATGCAGGGAGCAGCGTGCGTTAATTTCTTCAGGCGAAGGTTAAGATCTTCTTTAAGATGCTCATTAGCACTAGGTGGAAAGGAGCCACTAGATGCGTGTCGCTGCACTTTTTTGGTCAACTCTGGAGCATGTGCACCATCTAATCGGTCAATTTTCTGAGAATTCTAAAGTTTAAAATGTCATTTAGAATACATACGGCATTCCTTCATCAGAGAGATTTTAGACTCAAATTATAGCGAGTACATACATAGTTCTAGTCAATTTTTAAACAAGTCAACGCTGTTACTGGAGAAATAAAAACCTGATTACCAACTGCCTGAAAGGCACTCAATTTAGAAATACATGAGCCCTTTTATTGAGAATGTGTGATGAAAATACTGCACCACCACAGTCAAACCATCCAAAAAGATCTTCCCCCACGCTCGCTGGGATGCATCTATTACTAAATATGAAGTATCTGAAGAACTATGGTAATACCGTGGGTACCCTGAAGCAAAGATTTGCCTCTGCTTCCTAAAAATCATCAATCAAGCCAGAAGCAGCTACATGCTTCATAATGTTTGGGCACATGCCCTAAACAAGCAACTTCTGATTCAACACAAGGGAACATTACAATTTGCAGCCAAGGGTATGTTCTCTGGTTAAGAAGTAACCACCTGGCTTTTCTCTCTGGCCTTCTCATCAGCATCAGGGCAAACAATGAGACCACTGGGGAAAGTGCAAGGCCAGGAAAAACCAAATGCCTCATGTTAAGGGGTCCAGAAAGAGTATAAAGGAACCAACATGGACAGTCCAATGGCCCACTAGAGATGGATGTTCTTGTACCACCCTTTATCCTTACCTTGAAAAACAGAAAGGTGGGAACAGAAATAATTTCATATTTTTCAGATACTTCAGGAACAGCTTCAGCTTCCAACTTTAAAATAAAAAAAGAATTAAAGCTTGATTATTACAAGGTCCTTTTTTACTGCTTCAACATGTAAATCAGTTTCACTTGTATTACCCCTCCAAGTAGCTGGCGTTTTTAAGAGTATGGTAGAAAAGTCTACGACACATTTACATTGAAATGAGACTCACTGGGCTGGCATGCCATCCACGGAGTCTGCAGTGTCAAAACAGGTTCAGAGGTTTTTATTTTGTTGCACATTTCAAAAGATGCCTGGAGGCTGTGAATAAAATTTTTGGTGCACTAGTGACCTAGTAAATTTTCAATCATATGCAGCTACTACTATATTGAAATCCATAAATCACTGACCCCAGTTATGTCATGATTACAGTGCTTATTTTCTGCCCACAGCAATTCTTGCTGTTTGCTCTATTGACTAATTTCAAGAGGCAGTACATCATGACTGACAGTTGCAGCCTTCTGCAAATTATGAAGCAAAAGGAGTATTTCTTCAATAAACTATTGATGTCTGATAAATTTTACTTTTAACTCCTACAAGGCTGCTGGACACTAGGCAGATATCTTGCCAAGTTACTTGCTTCAGGTCTATTCATACATGGAAATTCACTATAAGATGATTATACTCTGTCTGATGATTTCCTTGAGGCTCCTCAACAAGATATAATGTGATATCTGACGAYGTGGATATGAAGGACATTTAGAAACACAATTTTGTAAATAATTAGAACACAATTACTATAAGCTATTTATGTAGGTCTCTATAAACTATACTTTGAGAAAAACCAAGATATATTTTTATCTCACAGGACTGTCAATTTAATATAAACTTTTTGAAACCAATAAAAACCTACATTCACATTATACCTATAGGAAATAAAATTTATTGATAAATTGTTAAAAAGTGCTTAAAATATATACACTGAATTTCTTCAAGAGTGAGATATCTCCACTGGGCCTGGAATACTATTTTTATCTACAGCTTTACCAGTCAGGTGATTTCCATTAGATTGAAACTCAATGCAGAGGGAGGCAGCCATCTGTCTGTGATCTATGCCTTCCACCTTACACATTTTTAGGTGCTGCTCCACTATCTTGTTTTATCTCTTTAGAGCACCCTTTTTGCAACAATATTGTTAATTAATTTCCATTTTTAAAAATGCATTCTGTATCTTAAATTAACATCAACCATTCAATAATCTTAAAAAGGTGCAAAAAAAGATGAAGTTTTTCTCAGACAGCTGTTCAAAACACACTTTTTCTTTAATTTTAGAAATGTGTGCACCATTCTCTTTAAGACATGCAATTCTGCACTCTGAACAAGAATGCCAGAGAGGCTGAAAACAAGGGCATGTCCAGTGTCACTTCGGCTCATTAGCCTTTCCTTTTGGCTACCATCTGTGGAGCACCCACCACATGCTGGGTATTGTGCCATAAAGGTTCCTACCCTTGTACTACTGGAGTCTAACAGAAGAGACAGACATCCCATCAACAAACAATGCCATGCAGGAAAGAGGCAGTGTGGTCTTAAATCAGAAAAATATAGGCAGCATCCGACTCGTACAAACTCCTACATGGTTTTTCAAAATCTGATCTCTTCTGATTTTCCTACTGGTTTCCCACAAGGTCTTAAGACAGCTCTTCCTGAAGCAAATCACTTGCTGTTCCTACTGAAGTCGAAGGATCACCACAAGTGCCTCCCTTCAAATCAGCTCCCAGAAAACAAATCTAAGGTAACGGTAACAAACAATTCCTACAGAACAAGGAATAGGAATACAGAAAAAGGCACAACATCCTCCAGAATGTCAAAGGCACCTAAAGTCCTAGACTCTGCAGGGCTGGGGATGAAGGTCAGCAGTAGAGTCTTGGCAAGCAAGCACAAGGTCCTGGGTTCAATCCCCAGCACTCTTTTCTCTTTTTGCTTTTTTAAATCCTTTTCAACATGAAAATTCTTTGAAAATATTGGATCTAATACAACATAATAATTTTAATCACAAATAAATATTTTTAAATGATCTGCAGTCAAAAGAACTCAAAAGATAACTAACAATAGCTACCTTTCATAGACAGCCTACTGTAAACTATGACCCTTTTGTAGCCTACTACTTTGAAAGGTATACAGCACATTATCACCCCAGCTTTAAAGCTGGGAAGGTAAAGAGGAGGTGTGATTAATTTTAGACATTAATTTGACTGGGTTCACATTATACCTATAGGAAATAAAATTTAACTAATAAAGCATTATTCTGGGTGTGTCTGCAAGGGTATTTTCTGAAGAGACTGGCATTTAAAATCAGTGGACTAAGGAAGGGGTATCTACCCTCACAATGTGTGAGGGCCACATAATAGGCTAAAGCCCCAAATAAAACAAAAATGCAAAGAAAAGGCAAAGTCATAGGACACCCATCTCCAACCCTTGGCCATCAGAATCCCAGGTTCTCTGGCCTCTGGCACTTGTCCCCATGACCCCCCACGTTCTTAGGCTTTGGGCCCCAAACTATAGAGTCACACCATCAGCTCCTTAGTTCTTGGGCCTTCAGACCAGAGCAGCTTCTCGGCTTCTTCAATTTGCAGAGGGCAGGTGGTGCAGATTCTTGGCTTCCATGACTAGGTGAGCAGATTTCCACAGTAAATCCTCTCTCATACAGCTCTCTCTCTATACATATATCCTACAGGCTACTTCTCTGGAGAACCCTGACTAATATAGAAGATCACGGAGTAACCTGTGTCCACGGATACACAGTTAATAAGTGGTAGAACTAAGCACAGTGTGCACGCCTGTCATCCCAGCTACTAGGTAGGCTGCAGCAGGAGGATCACAAGTTCCAGGCCAGCCTTGGAAACTTAGCAAGACCCTGTCTAAAATACAAATAAAAAAGAGCTGGGGGTGTAGCTCAGTGGTAGAGCATCCCTGAGATCTCTACCCACTAGTACAAGCAAACAAACAAAATAAGTGGCAGAGCTGAGAAACCATAAAATCTATGCTTCTTTCCACTATCACAGTTAACTTTTCTTCTACTTCAATCAAAAAGATAACACTTTAAGAACTGGATTTATATGTGCCTTTGAGACCAAACAAACATGAACACTTTCAGAATGAAATCTGAATCTCCCTGGTGGAAACCACTTGCTTCTACTCCAAGAATCTCAAGCCCTGGATTCTTCTCACCAAGCATTCTGTGTATGCATGAGAAGGAATGAAGTCAGGGAAGCATGAGGTTAATCCAGAGGTGGGGAATTCTCTCTATTTCACTTCAATTTAGCAGGGTCACCAAAGACTGGCATGACAGTTACAGTTCACAGCCACAATTTACTCTAGGCCAGACACAGTTCCAAATGTTTCATGTACTGACTCAATATCCTCTTAATAACAGGTACTATCATTAGAACCATTTCACATCGTGATTGTACAGACATTTAGAAACTAGAAATTGTGAACTGTATCTTTAAGTTAGTTGCCTATTTCAAAATATTTAAAAATAAAACTATAAAGATTCCTCTTTTTTAAGGAGAAAAAAAAATACATATTTCAGTATGTTAACTCCTCAATGTCCTTAACTTTTTACCTTAAATTATAATGTACAGACATAAGTACAGCAGTTATTATACAAACAAACTTAATATTAAATGAAACACAACAGCATAAAAAACTAACCAATCAGCCAGCTGCTAAGTCTGATCTGGGGAAATTTTGTAGTACAGTGCATTATATGATAAAAGAGAACCACAGGGGAAAAATCCATTTTCAGATCCATTTGATTTATTTCTCAGATATACCCAGCAGCACTCAACTTGTTCATCACCATGTACTACTTCCTCTTTCTCACCTCCTCTGCCAGATACCATATTGTGAAAGATTCTATCAACTAATTAATTGATAAATGTATATGCACATTTTAGGTAAAGTACTAACAAAATCTTTTATTTGAAAAGACATCTGACATGTTTTTAATTCTATTCTGAATAAACATAAGGTTTCTATACAACAGAAACAACTCATCTCTGTCCTCTAAGACCCTGGAGGTCTGAGAGCCTGGGTAGGGCCCACACCTTAGGATTCCAACCAGATAACAAAGTAGCCATTCAGGCAGCTGGAGGACCACCCATCCTAGACAGCTGTGGCACCCAGGGGGCATCAGTGCACTTCCTAGTCTTCATCAGGACAATAAGAGGCTCAGAGACAGTGAGTGTGAAAGCCTTGCCTTTCAACATTCACACCAAAACTGCACAACTAACTTTTCTAAGGTGATATTTTTATTCTCTCCTACAAAATAAGAAATTGTTGGCAGTCAGAGGACCTTACAATCTTCCATCTGAATGATTTATTTAAAGTGACTATAGAATTACTGCTCACAGTGGTATCAGACTGGTAGTGAGGTTTTAAGTTGTTCCAAGTGCTTAAGTGTCTCAGTGAGCCAAGGACTGGAAGCCCTTGGAGCTACTTGGGTTGTCAGGGCACCTAAGTCTGACAGCACCTTATTTAAATGACTCTGTAAAAAGATCACTTATTTAAGTGACTGTAAATCTCACTGACAAAAATGAACTAATCCCTACATTTTACAAGTCAAAAATGCCAAACTACTGTATTATCTTAAAAAAAAAAAATGAACAAATCACATTAGAAGACACAGACAGGGAAGCTAGGCAGCACGCCCTGGAGTCCCAGCTACTGAGGAGGCTTTGGCAGGAGGATCACATGAGCCTAGGAATTAGAGACCAGCTTGGACAACATGCTGAGACTCTGTCTCAAAAGAGACACAGATAAAGGCAGCAGAACATTAGTCCTATAATCTAGAAATATTTAGAAGCCCCTATTAACAAAAGAAAGCTGTTTCAAAATGAACTGCATGAGTCTTACTGGAAAAGGTCAATGATTTCTCAAATATTTCACTTCTTATTTGTTCACTGTAGTTCAGCAACTGCCTTTTAACTTCCTACTTTACAAACTCCATGCAAGTTACATTTACCTTCGATGTCTACTGAAATACCACAGAATGAGTTTCTGCAAAGTGGTGGCTCTTAAAAGAATGAGCAACCTGGCACTGCTGTCACCCCACAAGGGCAGTCAGGCTCAGGTGCCCCAATAACCCAGCAACACTCAGGGCTTCCTATCTTGGCTCATTGAGACACTTAAGCACTTGAACAACTTAAAATCTCACTACCAACTCTGATACCAATGTGAGCAGTAATTCTATAGTCATTTTAAATAAATCATTCAGATGGCAGCTGAGAACAATGTGTTACCTAAACCAGTAACACTATACACATAAAGCAGACTTCAAACAATTACCATCATCTTGATTAATCTTACGATTGGATGTTTAATCATTCATTTCACTGGTAATCATTATCTTTTATCACTGACCAAACATGCAACTTTAATGTCCCCTTCTATTATTTATATTGGACATTTTAGGGTTGCATCCTAAGGTTACATTACACATTTCGTTGGAATTTTAAATAAGTCCTTAAATTTTAAAAAGCTGACTATTATATTCATATTTGTTCCACATGCATAAAGAAACACTGGAAGGGTTCATGCAAAATTAATGTAAGCAGTTACATATGGGAAGGGACAACAGAGCTGATAGGCAAAACACGGGTGAGAAGCATACACTGTTTGGATTTTTGAGCCATCAGAGTACAATACCTATTTAAAGCCAACATCTTACAGAAACTGTCTGAAAATATTATCACCAACTATATAGAATTCTGTGTTTTCCATTCACATAAAAAGAGGCATTCAAATAGTTCGTTTCATTTTTAAGCCTACATGTGGGTATACTTGTTTATGTGAAGTCTGAACTCAGAAATTCTGGTTTTAAAAAACAAGGCTTTGGTTTTTCTGCTTGCTTTGAATCTTAAAGATTCAGACTTCTGAACACATATGCCTGCCTTCCCAATAATTCATTATTCTCAACTCATATTTTAGCCTTGATGCCTAAATCAGTACCAACTCCTCAATGACAACATTAAATGTGTTAAATCAAGTAAGCTAACCCACAGTCAAAACTATCATTTTCCTAGTACTTGTCTGCTCAAAAGCAAAACCACACAAAACCAGAATAAAAACCAAAGGAGGAGACTGAGAGCAGAGCTCAGAGGCACAGTATACCGTAGCCCAGGTTCAACGCCCAGCATCAAAAGGTGAGGAAAGGGAGGTAAGGAAAAGACTGCCTGGCTTCCCTTTCCTCTGCTTCCTGGACAGGTTAGATTTTCAGCTTCCACAAGTTTGCATTTACCCAGTCCAGGACAGCAATTTCATCCTTTCCCCAGGCTACAGCAACCTGTACAGACCCTTCAGGAAGCCTTTTACACATCCCACCCAGCCTTTCCATGAATTAAGTCTGGTTAATACCTTAACTATCCTAAAGCCACAATTATCCAGAGAATTATCTCACCTGCCCTTTCTCTCAAATAACTCTGCCTTTGCCCAACCTGATACTTCCCATCCAAGTATACCAGGGAAAGTGTGGTTATTTCTATACTAACTTGAGAAATGCAAAATGACTTTAAGAGTTTTAATTATAATCTATTGCAAATATCCCAATGCTACTTATAAATATTTGGAATTCCACAACACTCCTTTGTATTAGTTAATAAAATCTAGTCAAATCCACAACATAAAACACATAACACTGAAAATACAATACCTTCACAAATGAAACTTCACGGTGTTCTTTAGCTAACTCTGCCATTACATCGTTCATCTGTGCACACTGTGGAGCCCATGGCGCCCAGAAATGGATCACAAGGAGGGACCTGTGAGTTAATGAAACAAACTTCTTAAAAATTATATTAACTTTGGAAATAAGTAAATACTGATGTAGATCAATACTACTACAAAAATAAAACCTTTAAAAGAACTGCCTAAATTGTTTAATACTGTAGGATTTTGGTATATTATAAGCAGACTGAATTCAAGAACATTATGCACAGCCTGAGACCCTTTTGGATGAATTTTCAAATCAATGATATTTCTTAAATTAAGAATTAGCCCATGTAGTTAGGCATGGGGTACATGCCTGTAATCCCAGCAATTTGGGAGGCTAAGGCATGAGGCAAGAAGATCAAGTTCAAGGCCAGCCTCCATAACTTAGCAAGACTGATCAAAATTTAAAAAAAAATAATAACTTTTAAATTTTTGTTTTGTTGTTGATGGACCTTTAATTCATTTATTTATTTACATGAGATGCTGAGAATTGAACCCAGTGCCTCACACGTGGTAGGCAAGCACTCTACCACTGTCACAACCCAGCCCCAAAATAAAAAATTTTAAAAAAAGGGCTGAGGATGTAGCTCAGTGGTTATGCACTCCTGGTTCAATCCCCAGTCGCCCCCACCCAAAAAAAAAACAAAAACCTAGCCTTCATAAAGTGGTTCTGAATGTCCATCCATCTCAATTAATAGGTATATAAATCAACTCTATTTTCAGACTCCTAAGGAATTTCTTTATTAGGGGCCCCATGTTTGTGAATATCATTATTAACATATTTACTTTTTTTTTATACATAGTATTGTGTGGAAAAGGGGGTATGATTGTGACCATAGGAATAACAATAAAATGTTGAAAGCAAAAAAACAAAAATGTCTCTTACAAAAACAGCCTCTTATAATTTTAATCTTATACCACAAATGATTTTCTAAGTAGTTTAGTATGAACAGTTAGAATAGTGGATTAATAAATTACTGGCTATGTTCTTAAGAGCCTAAATGCATATCTACCTTAATCATTTTTTTTAATATATATATATTTTTTAGGTGTAGATGGACACAACACAATGCCTTTATTTTTATGTGGTGCTAATGATCGAACCCGGGTCCCGCCCATGCTAGGCAAGCGCTCTACCGCTGAGCCACAATCCCAGCCCCTTAATCATTTTCATACAAAATAATTGTGGCAACAATAGCTATCTTTATTTCTATCCTCATATCCAACCTAAATTAATTTAGTTTTATAGGATGCTACATTCAAACACTATCCTCCTCAAAAAAAAATAATTGAGGGAAAAAAGTTACATAGAGGAAAGAACCAAGGACAACCAATGTTTGAGGGGGAAAAAAAACTTTTAGTTTTTTTTTTTTTTTTTTTTTTTTAGTTGACGGACCTTTAATTCATTTATTTATTTATGAGGTGCTGAGAATTGAACCCAGCGCTATAAAAGCCAATGAGATAACAGGTGAGAAAAGAGCAGGCCCATGTGAGGAAAGTGGAAGCACAGGGAGGATGAGGCTGTCAGAGGCAGGGTTTAGTGACGTCCAGGAATAGGCGAAGTCCAAGGCTAACTCCAGCTCTGGCTAGAGACTGAGGGCTGGAAGTGGCAATGGCCTCGAACTCTAGCACAAAGCTGTCAGCCTGGGAGGAGAGAAGTCTAGTGGGCTTTCAGTGAAGATATCTGCATTTGACCTACAGATCTGGGAGGGAAAAAAAGCCACACCATGTTGCAGAGGAGTCAGACTGGACCCACGGTCAGACTTCAGGGCTGACCAACACCAAGTCAGGCCAAGTGGAGGACAAGGAAAGGAGGCCTAGAAGTAGGAAGAGGTTAAAGGGTCTCAGAGAGGTGTGAGAAGGAAGAGTGGGTTGAAGTTACAGTTCACCAGTATGGCATTTGCCTAATATACACAAGTCTCTGGAATCAATGCCCAGCACTACAAAACACAAAAAGGAGTGACAACCATTAAATGCATCAAGAAAGGGCAACTAACATTACCAAGAGGAATATGAATGGGATAACAGAAGCACATCAGTCAGCAGCAGAGGCGGACTGAAGGTAAGAAAGCAGAAGCTGCTAGAAATCTACTTCAAGAGATTTGTACCATGCACAAGAAAAGGATAGATCTAAGGAATCAGCTTTTAAAAAAAATTATTGATACAAGGAAACCTTCATATGTGTATTTTGTGCAGGGACAATTCAAATGGAGAGGGAGAGGCTGAGGACCAGAGACAGCTGAGAATGCATGGTCTGCAGGGAGGCAGGAAAAGGGCCTCCAGAGTAGAGAGAGGGGCAGTGTCCTCTGTATCAGAGCCAAGGAATAAACAATGGGTAAAGCCATAGCTGGGTGCCTATAATCCCAGCAGCTCGGGAGGCTGAGTCAGGAGGATTGTTGAGTTCAAAGCCAGCCTCAGCAAAAGCAAGAGGTAAAGCAACTCAGTGAAACCCTGTCTCTAAATAAAATACAAAATACAGTTGGGGATGTAACTCAGAGGTGGAGTGCCCCTGAGTTCAATCCCAGGTACACCCCCCTCAAAAAAAGGATGGGTAAAGTCATGTATAAGGAGCGGGGGATCAGGCAGATGCTGATTAAAGTTCTTTTCTCTCAGGTACAAAGCAAGGCCATCTGCTGAAGGGAAGAAACTGAAGGACAGGAATCACAGGTAGGACTGAAAAAGAGGGGAGAACTGCTGGCTGCACAACAAGTCTAGGAGGGGCTCCAAAGGAAAGCCCGCCTATGGCAGCAAAGGACATATTGTGGAGCCCCCACCCAGCAGATCATGATCTGCATTCAACAGATGGTGGCAGCAGCAGGGGAGGGTGAGCAGGTGTTCAGTATGGGCTTTGAAACATTTAAGAAGTAACAGGGATACTTAACAGTTTTAAAATGATGGGAGTATTGACAATCATAAAGGTCAGCTCCAGGACTAAAGAGATGAAAATTAAAAAGGATAGGAAAGGAGAAAATCTCAGCTATGTTGATTTAGTATTATAATTCTCATGTTGACACAATACATCAAGACAGTCTTTTAAGGCTTTTATCTTGAGAACATGACTGAAGTTGAGGGTACTAAATTATCTCTGATCTGTGTTATTCTTCAGTGTGATAGGCTAGAAACAAATACCATATAACTGATTCTTGTTTAGATGGGGTGTTAGAAATTGAGAATCAGGCAGATTCATCTGCTCTAAAAATGACCCTAGCCATGATGACCCTAGCTGGGTGTAATCCCAGCAACTTGAGAGGCTGAGATAGGAGGACTGCGAGTTCAAAGCCAGCCTCGGCAACAGTGAGACGCTTGTCTCTAAATAAAATACAAAATAGGACTGAGGGTATGCCTCAGTGGTTCAGTGCCCATGAGTTCAATCCCTGGTACTCCCCAGAAAAAAATTTTTAAAATAAAAATAAAAATGACCCTAAAGTAAATTGCTTCAAAAAATTATATCCCAAAAAATCCTAGGTAGGGATTTGAAATTGTCATCAGTACTTACATAATTCAAATGGAAATAAAAGAATTGAAGCAAGGTCATCTTGAGATAAACCCTGACTCAAGCTTTTGCAGAACTAAGGTGTCCTTGCTGGACAGTAGAAGAATCAAATCATGTAAAGTTCCTCAATTAAAAATGTACTGACAAGGAGGGATGGAAGGAAGGAACAGAGGGTAGAAACTGTGACTCTTTTACAGAAAGTTCAAGAGCACTAATCTACAGTGACAGAAGAAATCTGTTTTTGGAGAAGGGGCTAGAGGAACCCCTGGGGTTCTATTTTCCTATTTTGAATGGTGGTTACTAATATGTATACAATTGTCAAAATTCATCACATCTGACTATGAAGATCTGTGCATTGATATCTCAATTTTTTAAAGCTGGTACATCAATTTTCACCAAATTGACAAAAGGATTTCTAAAATCAAAATATTTAATGATAAAAAAGATGGTGAGAGAAGCACTTCCATATCTTGCTGGTAAAAACTGAGATCTCCCAGAAATTCCACACATATATGCTGATACCCAGTCCAAGGAAACAATTTAAAAGACAAAAATTTATGAATATGAATATTTCCCACTACCTTACATAGCTAGTAACTGGAAAAATCTAATGTTCAACAATGTAGTTTTTTAATGGTCATAACAAAATATTATAAAGCCACTAAAAATCAAATTTTCAAGGAATTTTTAATGCCATGGGGAAAAATAACACAATCTGATTACATTTTTTAAAAATTGGAATAGGTAACTAGGCTTTGTAATATTATAATCCCACACGAGTTTAAAAAAAAAAAAAGAATATGCAAATAAGCCTGAATTCAAGTTTCAGCTACATCACCACCAACATGGCTTTGAAGAGTAGTTTAACTTCCCTGCACTCCCACATCTGTGAATAGCATTACCTAACACCCTGAGATGTTAAGAACAAACAAAAACATAAAAGTGTCTTAGTTATACTAAAAGCATAATTTTAATGTTAGTAGTTAGCCATGATATTCACATATCATGCTCTACTTTCAGTATCAATTAAGTATATTATATCATATATGTATACATCCAATATTATAATGACATATACCTGAAACAAACAAAACAATGTCCTCTTTTGGATTATATATAACAGTATTATCTCCATCTTCATGGATTGTTCAATATGCCTAATGCATTGTTTAAAGAAAACACTTAGAGAAAGATCAGGATGAAATCCTCACTTGCGAGATTTCAGACCACATAATGAATCTTGGTTCTTCATCAATACAACAATTGTTTTTCTGTTTTTACAGGTTCTGCTACTTCAGTTTTTCATCTGCAGTTAACACTACCATTTACTATCACATGCCAGACTCAAGTATTTTTAAAATGGGTAAAACCTCTTAATTACTCTGCAAATGTGTAAACATCCCCATTGTATAACCAGCTGAGGTTCCAGTAACTTACATATACATCTAGTAAGTGGCTTAAGCCAAGACAAAAATCTCAATTCCTATCAAATTTTAAAACTGAAAAGCTATGACTTGAAAAGTTCATTTAAAGTGTTACATGGAATACTACTTAATGTTCTTAAATGTTTCTATTTTCACAAAGAGCAGCAACGGTTCCCTCCTTCCCCAGATGTCACACTTCATTTCCCAAGTGCCCATTTAGCCTGGTGACCTTGAAGAATTTAGACTACTGGGTCATCTCCAGGGCAGACCACAAGCAAGAATACATCCAAAAAGTATATGAACTTGAACTTTCTCCATTAAGGATTGTGAAACATACAAAAAATAGTCTTCTCAATGTAATGGTAAATTCAAAACATTTAAGGACAGGTCCACACAAGTCCTTAAATGTTATTTAAGGATTAAATTTCATTAGGCCACCTCTGGTGTCCTCCACTGTTGTGCTGCCTGAACATGTGTTGGTTAGTTGGATGAATCAAAACCCAGCTTCCATCAATGAATAATGTCATCTATCCCCTTAAAAAAAAAATCGCAGGTAAAACTGAAATAAACGCCTAAAGAATTGTTTGTTTCATTCGTTTTTGGTGCTGGGGGTGGAACCCAGAGCCACCACTAAGCCACACCCGGGGCCCCCAAAGGCCAGTTTTAACTCACACTCGAACTTCCTCACGTCGGTGCAGCGCAGGGCGCTTCCTGCTGCCAGTCCCGCAGCAGTTTACACTCGCCGTCTCCTTGCACCCGAGGCAGGCACTGAGCCCGAGGCTCGGTTACAACACTTGCCGGGGTTACCCGCTGGTGGGCGGCCGAGTTGAGGGTCCCAAGAGAGGGACACCGGAGCGAAGCGCCAGCAGCACAGCACAGCGTGGCCCCCACGACCCGGGTCGGGCTGCACAGCGGTCCAGCCACCCCAGCGGCCCGCCCTCGCGCCCCACGCACCCCAGGGTCTCCTTCCGCAGTCCGCTCAAGGGCGAGATGCACGTGCGCAGCCCGGGCGCCCCCAGCCGGGCCGGAAGCCGAAACGGCAACGGGCTGGGCGGAGCGCGGCCCGGGCGGCCCGGCGCGCCCTTCTCCGGCGGCGGGGAGGCTCCGCGGGGGTCTCTGCCGCCCCGCGCCGCCGAGCCACGGCCCAGCCCGGCCGCCCGGGCCAGACGGCGGGGGATCCCGGGTCCGGGCCGCCGTGAGGCCGGGCGGCCGCCTGCTCGCTGTCCCGGGAGGGGCGGGCTTCGGGAGCCGGGCGACGCCGGCGCGGCCCGAGGCCCAGGCCCGTCAGACGCCAAGGGGCCGACCGCCCCGCGGCCCGACCTCCCTACCACCACCCGCCATCCGCCACCCACCGCCCAGCTTACTTGGCTTTGAGGCGCAGCAGCTCCTCAAACTGCCCGGCCGAGCGGACCTCCACCACCGCCGCCGCCGCCGCCTCGGCAGCTCCAGCCGCCCCCGCCGCCATGCTGCAGCCGCCAGTCAGGAGCAGTCGAGCGCGGGCGGCTCGATGGGGTGGGGCGGGGCCAGAGCGCCTGCGCGCGAGGAAGCCCCGCCTCTCCTATCGAGGCCCCGCCCCCGGCTGAGCCCGAGGCACCGGAGACCCGGAAACATGGCGCGGGTCGGGGTTGTGCAGCCAGCCTCCGAACTTTCCTCGCACTTCCTGTAACCTTAGAGACCAAGCCCGGCGCTGTGATAGCGAGAAGTGTCTGAAGTGAGTGCGAGGGAAGGTGGGTTACAGCACTGGCAAGCCGGAATCGATCAGCAAGGGAATTGCATCAAGGTGGGGATGAAACGAGAAGTCTGGGAACAGGGTAGCGGTCTTGGAACCTCAGCACTGACAAGGTGCTTACAGCTGGGTCCTGCAGCACCCGACCCCACGCCCTCTGTGTCGGGCTGGGGACGACCCCCATCCTCCGCGTGCCATTCCCTCGACGGAGGCCTGCCAGACCCATCCCCATTGCGACCTTGGTGCCTCAAAACCAGGGTGGCGCCGCTTCTTCTGAGCACCAGGATGCACATTTCCATGACCCCTGCCTCCCTGTCACTCAGACCTTCTGGCCTCCTGTGTAAGTGGCCCTCCAAGTGCAGTCCTCCGCGCCGGTCTTACTTGATTCCTACAGATTCTTGGCCTGGATAAATTTCCCCATGCTCCTAGTTTTTTCAGTCTCCAAGGAAACCTCAACAGCTAGCCCAGAGTCCAGTATCCATCTGCTTTGGGAAGTACACTGTCACTTGTAGAATGTCCTCAAACCACATCAGGCCTTCCCTTCAAAGCCCCTCTCCTTTATGGCTCCATTTTCACTCAACACCTAATATCCTGGCGCCTGCCCAAACATTCAGGACTCTTGGCTGGTCCTCTGGCTCTGACTGCGCACTGTGTCAAGCACTGTGGAGCCTTTGTCTGTACTAGTTGGGTGTCCCAGGGCCACCTGTGTATGCTTCTAACATGGGCATTCATGTCCTAAACTGTGCTTGTCTCCTCCTGAGGCCATGTTCTTAGGTAAGATGGGAGCTGAATCTCCATCCCAAGCGCCTGCATTGGAGCCAGCCACAGATCCATGCTCCCAACTCACCAGATTTCAAAGACTGCACAAAAAAACGAATGCGATATATCACTAATAATTTTGTATTGATTGCATATTTAAATAATGACACTTTGAATATATATTGGGTTTTGTGAACTATATTAAATTTATCTTTCTTTATCTCTGGTTATTAGGACATTTTAAGTTACAGACGACTCTCACTGTGGCTCACTTTATGTTTTCTATTGGCAGCAATGTTCTAGTGATTAAAAGTAGCCTTAGGAGCCCTGTTTACATGTGTGCCTCACCTTGAGAAATAGATGTTACTAAAAACATCAGTTATATTATTCAAAATGCAACAAGAGAGCCAATGAGGATCTGTTTTGTTTCTTGGCAAGATTGTATAGAAATAAATACACAGGAGTACAAATAAAACTAGGGAAATCTGGAAAAGGCAGATTGTATGCTAATATCAATATCCTGATTGTGATACTGTATTACAATTTTGTAAATGTTAGCATGGGGAAAGTATACACAAAATGTCTTTGTATTTTTTTTCAACAACTGCATATGAATCTATAATTAAAATAAAAACTTTAGTTGATAGAAAACAAAAAAATGTAACTAAAAGCTTAGATACTACCGTGAGGAAAAATGCAATAGGWGGAGGGAAATCACGTTGTAAAAACAGGATCCTACTCTGAGGAGCTGGGATTGTGGCTCAGTGGCACAGCACTTGCCTCACACATGTGAGGCACTGGATTTGATTCTCAGCACCACATAAAAATAAATAAAATAAAAACKGGTCCATATATAACTAAAAACACTTAAAAAAAACAGGATCTTACTCTGGTTACCATTTTTAAGCATTGAATTGTATGTAAATAAAATATAATTATATAACTGAATGTGGCATAGAAAAGGTCTCTAGAAGAATGCCCCCCAAGCATTAGGAGAGATTGCCACAGAAATTGTCCACTTCTTTGTGTCATTTACATGTGTTCAAAGAACATGGATTGCTTTGAAATTTAGTGAAATTTTAATGAAGAAAGGAAGTATGTTATAATGAGTATTTTCTTAAAAAGGAATAATCATCTCTTTGACATGACTATTTTATAAATCCTGATTTTTCCTTTAAATGGAATTTGCTAAAAGTAGCATACACCAGCTGTGAAGAAGGCTCCCTACTTTTTTTTTCAATTTGTGTGTAACTTTATTCAAATTTTAAATTGCACTTTAAAAGCACCAGTTTTGTCTAGCTGGGCATGTGCTGYCTTGCTCAGGTCTTGGCCTAGAGGAGGTGAAACGAGACACTCTCTCCAGAATTATAACCAGGACATCCAGGTAGAGCTCCAAGGAGAAACAGCAGGCTGCTACATGAAGAATGGAGGCTTTCTGTGCAGTCTGAAGGAGTTCACAGTAATGCAAGAAACCATAGACCGGGCTGGGGATGTGGCTCAAGCGGTAGCGCGCTCGCCTGGCATGCGTGCGGCCCAGGTTCGATCCTCAGCACCACATACCAACAAAGATGTTGTGTCCGCCGAGAACTAAGAAATAAATATTAAAAATTCTCTCTCTCTCTCTCTCTCTCTCTCTCTCTCTCCTCTCTCACTCTCTCTTTAAAAAAAAAAAAAAAGAAACCATAGACCAATGCCTTTTTCCTCAACGTGTTGGTCAGCTTTGCATCACTGTGACCAAAAGACCTGATGAGGACAATGTAGAGAAGGAAAAATTTACTTTAGCTCAGTGTTTCAGAGGTTCAGTCCATGTAGACTGTAGGGCTGAAGTGTGGGAAGGGAGTAATAGAGGAAAGCTGCTCAGGACATGGCACCAAGAGGGGGAGAGTGAGGATCCCTACTGGAAGAAAAATGAAGACTCCTGGATGATGCCCCAACCCTGCCCTTCTTGCAGTTACCACTGTTGCTATCAAGTGGCTTGGGGGCTGCAGACTACATCTTGGCTTTAGAATGCACTGACTCTTTGCTGCTGGACTCCACACAGAGCCAAGCTGCATCGGGGGGGCGGGGGCACACCCAAGGTATGGGTGTGTGCAGATAATAGGCAGTGCTTGCTGGCCTTTCGGAGCGCTTGCCCAGTGTCCACGTTCTCCACTCAGGGTCCCTCAAGCTGATGTGAAGACCATCACTGCCTAACCCCCAGATTATACCTAAGGAACTCACCCAGACACTCCACAGGGAGGGCAGGCCCAGGACTCACCCAGGCACTGCCAGAAGCACTTCTTGCCCACCGCCACTCTAGAAAGTCTGGTCATCTCCCTTGGAGTACACTAGGGCCAGAGGAAATGCTGGCCGTTTCCATGCTCAGTGATTTTGAGCTGTTTCAGAACACGGTGGTCTTGGCTTTCCTTTATGCCCTGTTATGCCCAAAAGCTCAAAAACAGAGCAAAAGAGTGGGCTAATTTGGGTCCATGTCCCTGTGTGTTCGTCCTGGACAATGACATTCTGCTAACCCCATGTATAAGCATTATTCAGTGGTGCCTGTCCACTCCATGGGGGAGGGGGGCCCTCTTGGGACAGCCCTGCCAGGTGAGGAATGGCTCTCCCTGCACAGTACCCTCCTCAGGGCCACATTCAGGAGAAGTAAGCTGCCCACAGGTGCCATGTGGTCCTTCAGGAGCTGGAGCATAAGAACCAGAACCTGAGGCTCTGGGCCTAGGGGCTGAAGTCCTGGCCTAGGAGGGCCCAAGCTCCAGTGGGGAAGGCCAGAAAGGGATGTCCTGGACTTTGGGGCAGCAAGAGGCACCACCTAGTGTCTGTGAATTGTCTGTTTTGAAGGTGTACGTGCAGCGTGATTATTTTGAAGGATAATAACAACAACTAATATTTACTGTTCCTGAACAGACAAGGTAATATTAAACCATGAATTTCTGATGCGTCATTAGTTCCTGTGGCTGTGTGTTACTCAGTGGGTACAGGGCCTGGTACTGCAGAGGCACAAACAACCTGTCATGGAGGAATACTTATCTTAAATGAGGCTTGGGACCCAACTCCCACCTGGTGGGGGTCTCTAAGCCCCACTGAGAGACACTGAGAAACACAAAGGGGTGCTGGAGGAAAGACCAAGAAGCAGGACATTAAAACATGTTGCCATTCAAGTCAAATGGCCAACAGTTCCCTTCTTTTAAGACTCTTAAATTCCAATTACTAAAAAAAAAAAAAAAAAAAATTCCAATTACTCCGCCCCTGAAGACCAGTGGAGAATAACCCCAACTAGAGGGAATTAATTTCCTTAGGAATTTCACTAGTACAAGATTAATGGAGCCCCCCTGCAGAGAACGAGCAAAGCTGTAAGTACCGCAGATTTGCACCTGAAGGATACATATTTTAATTTCAGTTCTCAAGCTGCGATAACATCTTCTGAGCTACTATAAAAGCATAAATGAGTCTGCTGAGAACCTGTTCACACAGAGCTCCCTGGGGGAGCCTCAGCCCACCTGGCCCAGCGGGAGACTGATCCCCCATGCTGCCAGCTTGGGCTTGGGTCATATAGGCGCTGAAGATGCAGTGGCCATGGCCTGGGCACAGGACTGGGAAAGGCCAAAGCAAATGTGCCTCCCCACAAAGCCCCTGACCTGCCTAGATCAGGCTGACCCAGTCTAGAGCGGAATCCCTGGATGGGATTCTCCTAAGTTGGCCACTGTCCCAGGTCACAGCCCTACTACTTACCTGGCTTGACCGACACCAGTCCCCTGCCCCAGACAACTACCTGGACCCACAATGGGGGAACCCAGACATGGATGGTTCCCTCACCTTCCCCTTGTCACCAGAGTCCTACAGGGAATTTTACCCCTCAGCTTCTCTGGCCCCAAGGAATGGCTCTCCTGGCACAGCACCCTCCAAAGGATGGGACTTGGGAAGTATGTCTCACTAAACCATTCTGAGATGACTGGACACTGGGTCAAATCAAGCAATCAGCCCCTTCCTTACCCTTGGCCCAAGGGCCACCTGGCAATAGGGTCCCTTCTCCTGTCA